GTATGTTGTTTGTGATGAGGAGGAGCATATCACGCCTCGAGACGTAAGTAACAACTGATTTGAATAAGCTATTAGTCAACAATGTCAATTACATAGTGCCTTTTAATTTTATCAAAAATTTTCCGCAATTTTCCTATTAAAAAAAGAAGGTGAAAAGTTGTTTAATTGTCTTTTAAGTCTCAAAAATATATAAATTAAATGTGGACAAATAAAACGATATTAAATCAATACTTCCCTTACGATAAAAAAAAAAAAAAAAATAGAATTCTCTTGTATTTCTGGAAATTTTCATTCAAATTGTTTCTTGTTTCTTTTTTATTTTGTTTCAATCGCATTTTATTTAAAAAAGCTTGCAGAAAAGAAACATTGAAATTTTCCTCCCGGAACCCAAGCAATCTTGAGTTTCTAATAAAATTATTATCTTCCTCCTATATCTTTCACAGGACAAAGCTTTGTGTTTAGCGTTAAATGAAATTCCTAGAGTCCTTTACCTCTGACACCAGTTCTGGGAATGTGTTGTTTTATGTTATATTATTCCACTTGTTCCAGTTCCAGTTATACTCCCTCTCCCCTCTCAAGCATTAATACATCCGTTTTATTTACCTCTTATACTTTATTTTGTCTCTATTTTTTTTCATAAAAAGAGTAAAAGTTAAAATCAGCAAAATATTCAGAAATATTATATTTAATTTTTTTTATCCATAAAATCCTCAATATTCAATATAACTTTTTTAAATGGAATTAATAAAATTTTCCAATCAGCGGGGTCATTCATTTACCAATGCTAATGTGAATTTTACCGAACATCGCGTTTGGCTTCGTAAATTAATCGGTGCCAATATTTGAAATGGATTTGTGATGTTTGCACGCGCCGTTGTCGGTAAACAACGCGAAAAACGCATTTGCCTCCGTCAATTCGGATGTGTGCGCGCTAGAAATATTTTGATACCTCGCTAATACATCACATTATGCACACACGCCGCCGGCTGACGCGGTGCGGTCAGTGAAAATCGCACAAACTTCGCGATAGAGAGGCGAGTTGGCTTTAATTTCCTGCTGGGCAGCGAAAAATATTTATCACCTTGCGCGTGCATTTTGGCAGGGAGAGAGGCTTTGAAAATGAGGCTGTGTGGACCGCAGGCGAAAAAGGTCGTTTTGTGTCTTATCTCTCTATTCTGGGTGGAGAAAGAGAGAGGCTCCCTTTGTAGTGCTAAACTAGCACGCGGCGCGCGTTATTATTTGCATTGTTATATTGGCGAGGCCGAGAATCTGAAATTGATCGGATCTGCGTTGTCGTCGCTGCTGCATTGTATTATTTTGCTTTGAGAATGGTCGCCCCTTAAAATTTATGGATAACACTTTTGTTAGTCAAAAGTAACATTTTTTTTTGTGTTTGTGCTTTTTTTTAAACCTTGCATTCATCTTAAATATTTTGTTTTAAAAAATACTAATAAGCGACTGGTTAGTTTTTTTTTATTATTGTAATGAAATATTTAAAATTTAAAATATTTTGTGTCAAATTACACGGCATTAAATTAATCAAAATCTTACAATCAAATAGAAATACGTGATCAAAAAATTATTTCAGGATTTGACTAATTTAAAATTAATTGTATATTTTATTTAAATAATAAACTTTTTTATAATATAATATTTAAAATTAATAATTAATTAATTAAGCAATTAATTTGCAACTAATTATAAGCATTTTCCAAAATCTTTCTTTTGAAATTTGTAACTTTGCCTTCAGAACATTTCATATTGAAGCAAGAAAATCTCGTCCGTTTTCATGTTACGTTTTTTTAAAGCATAAAAACTGACGCGTCACCCCCATCAACAAAAAACACACCCTTACACCCGATCGAACACGTAGGAAAGTCCCTCCGGAAAGTAGTGCTGATTTCGTTTTCCTTACACGAATGCGAGTGCCCCGACCTTCTCCCTTGCTATTTTCGGTATATATTTGTTTTCGGGCGCATCAGGAAAGGTGTGTGAGATTGTGGATGACGGGGCGCGCGAGCCGTATGCCGGCGAAATCGAAATGAGCGATCGATCTCTCAGTCAAGAGGACTGTGGCAGTTTCATCGCAATGAACAGAGCGTTCTCGCAGGTATGTGACAGCAAGAGCGGCGCTGCGCGAATAAATTTGTACGACGAGGGTGATGATCCGCTCTTGTGTTGTGATTACATTATTGTTGCACGCATGTCATGAATGCTGATCCCTCTCGGCCGACAAAGCAGCGCCTTCCTTCATCTCTCTGTTCACTCCACTCGCTCTCTCAGCCGCAACAACTTATGGTGCTCGTTCGCTCACACACGCGTTTAAAGCTACCCAAGTGCTGGAATGGAAAAGTGCTTAGCTAAGCTCGCGTTTCAAGCTCGGCAGCTAATTTTCTACCTCGATTAATATATGCGTCTCTCGAAATGGAAAAAAAACGAGAGTATATGCGACACGTTATAATAAACAATTTGTATTTTATATACTTATTATGATAACATTTTGGTGTTAAGAACTGCACTGTATTTCACAATCAAAAATTGCGCATACGTTTTTGGTTTCATTCGTGTTGTCGAACATTCTTTTTTTTATGTTTAAAGTTTAAAACAAATTTATTTTTCATTTATACTTTCAAGAATTGTACTCTTTGTACAATTTTAATTTGAAGAAACACAAATTAACAGACCAAAATAAAATTGATTAATTTAAATTTGCTTATTTTATCGCATCATTATTTGTCAAAATTTTGCAACCCCGTTCCCTTCGGTAATCGCAGGCCGGCTCTCGAAACAAAGCAATGGGTAGAGTGAGAGTTACTTGTTACTCAACTTTGTGTTCAGCTCTCTTATCGCACGAGGATTCCAGAGGTGTCGCCGCCAGTCCAAAAGTTGGTCCTCTCATAACTGTATTTTCTCCATATATCCTTTAACGTTGTCGTCGTCGCCGCCGCTAAACTCCCATTGTTGCGCGCACAATACACAAAAGAGACGCGCGGCGAGGGAAATTCCCTGGCACTTTCCTAAATCGACCGCCAGCAATGCACGCGTATGCATTCCCTATACTTACACCTACCTAGGGTTTAATTAAAATCTAACACGGTCTATCGCCACCCGCGTATCTGAATAATGGTTATGTCCGCGCCTGGCATTGAAGTGTCTTATCTCTAGTGTTGGTGCTGGAATGAACGACGCACCAACAATAGAGCGCTGTGCGATAAACTTGATATTAAAAACACATATTACACAAGACTTGAAGGAATAAAATAATATAATATAAGTTGTGATTAGTTGTCAGTATTTTTAAATTTAATTTTTTGTTATTAAAGCAAAAAATATATATTTTTTTTAATAAAATATTTGTATGATGTACACAAAAATTTAAAAATTACAATTTTTATAAAAAATATGAATAATTACTAGAAGATCTCGTGATCAAAATTACTATTTTGACTTATTTATGCAATGACAACTTTCATAATAATTCTCCAATCTCTAATTATACAAAAGTAAAAATATTATTAATAGGCTAGTATAGATTATTTTTTCAATTTTTAATAGAATATTCAAATAATAAACCAATAGTAGCCAATTCTTTTTATCAATATTAACTTCTTATTTAGGTAATGAGCCATGAGCGTAATACAAAAAATAAATACGCTGGTGTCAAATGATATTTTAGAGCATTAGGATTAGACAGAATTTTCATGGTCATTCTCTGTCTGCTTATTTTCTATATAGGCGCTGCACTAGTGGTTTTTGCAGGAAAGCAAAATGTTGATTTCACCTGGTTTGCAATTTCCTGTGGTAGATGATTTAGGGCGGAAGTGGTGTTGCCTGTGGACGGCCGCGCGCCAGGCCAGCAACAGCCAAGCCAAACCAGCATCGAGCACTCGCGGCCAACCAGCAGCACCCCGTATTTCGCCTCACCTCACTCGCACAACCCTTGTCAGAACATTTTTGCAACCGGTGTGTGTATTATGGTTCACCACCGTATATAGACATTCCACTAAATCACTTCGCAGTAATATAAACACGGAGAAGAGCAAAACCAAAAACAACGCGACAAGCAGCACACACCAAGGAAATTCAAAATGGGATAATGAGTTTTGTGGAAATTAAAGAGTTTTATATAAAATTCTTTCAAAAATTTTATTTGATTTTTGTATGATCTTGAATGATAATACTATAAAGAGTTTTTATAAATATTTGCAAAAAAAAAAAATGCCGAAGAATGTGTGTACATCGAATGAGAGAAAAAGATCAAATATTTAGTTTTCAGCAAAGTTTTGGCTGCTAGGTCAAAGTCCGTCTCGAAAGCGAAAGAAAGCTGAGTTGGGTCAGAGAAGTTGGAAACCTGCTCTGCTGTCGATTCTCATCGAACTAACTAGGAGAGGGCAGGCAGAGAGTGTGTTGAAAATTATACCAACAAACACTTACGCTTCTGCGAAGAGGATCGCAAACTTTTATATTTAGTTAGTTTATCTAAGAAATGGGCAGAGTGAGATGGGTCAAGATAGAAGTTGTGGAATCGTTAAAAATTTAAATAAGGAAATAGAAAGTCTTGTATTTGTTTCTGTTTAAGGAAATATTTTAATATTTTTAAAGATCATATCATAAGCCGTACAATGAATGATATCTTAATTTGTTTTTCAATTAAAAGCCGAAAAAATTTTCTCAGAGCTTATGCATGCAGACGAAAAAAAAAGATTTAAAAAAAGACACTCAAATTATGTTGAATGCAGTTCTTTTTAATAATACATATTGCGTAGAAATGTATTTAAACTGTTTGTTAACTCATCATTATCACGTGCCAGCACCAACATGATCTAGCTCTAACTTATTTTAAAACATTATGCAACCGGCTCGTCTTCCGTGAAATACAGGTTGCATAGTTTTAATTTCATTATTCTTCATGAGATAAAAGTAATAACAACAATTACTGTTCCTTCACCATTACAGAACTCACTGACATGACCTGGACAAATAATAATGCTAGGGTGTAATCTAAATTCAATATTGGTTTTATTTCCAATTGGAATTTTTGTTTTAAAAAAACTTTTGGCTTATATATTTTAAGGATTTTAATTAATAAAGCAGTATTTATTAGTTTCATAATTTCTTAATTAGAAGGTCAAAAGTAACATAGCAGCATTAATGTTATTCAAGCAGCAGCCTTCTTCTTCCTGGCCACCTTTTTCTCCGCGGCAGACTTTTTGAGACCCTTCATCTTCCTCGTCTGAATGGTGGTCACATCCTGTTTGCCCATGTGGACACGTCCATGGGTCGTGCCCAAAGCATCCTTGCTGATGTTCTTCTTGGGCTTTGACTTTGCCTCTTGAGGAGTTCTGCAACAGATTCATTTGAAGTAGTTAAGTTTGCTACCACAGACACTAAACTTTAGAGAAAATTACCTGCACGCTCTCTTCATTAAATCGTCTGAGGCAAACTTGACCCTTTTCAGTGCCAAATCAACGTGAGGACCCAAATCTTCAAGTTCAACTCTCGGCAACTTGGTGCTGGATTTTTTCAAAAGAATTCTGAAATAAAAGTTTTCATTTTCTCAAACTGGTCCATGTAATCTTGCTAAAAATTGATTAATTGCATTTGAGATTTGTGGAATAAATCCAAAATCAATTTTCAATAAAAAGCCAAAAAGACTATTATGAATTAAAAATATTGAAAAACAAATTACTTGTAACTCCTCATGAGAATGCTTTCAGTTGTGGCTGTAAACATGAGCACATGCTCGAGTCCCTGCGGACGAATGGCATCGATGACCTCGCCTCGGAATACGTCCACCAGCAGACTTTTGACCTTCTGCAGCTCTTGGCTTTGCTCCCAGAGCTCTCCGCTGAAGACCAGACAAGGTTTTGTGTTTGTTGGAATGCTGGCCGAGTACTCGTCCAAGCTTTTGTAGTCATTCACGCTGAATTCGACCATGTCCAGTAAGTTTCCATCAAATAACCTTCCTAAAATCAATTTTTAATATGCAATTATTGAATTTTTCTTTCTGGTTTTTTTTCCTCAAAATTCTTACCAATAATTAACGAGTTGGGTCTTTTCTTGTTAGATGAGGTGAAAAAGAAAACAGACGACTCATGGTTCCTGCAGAATCGCTCAATTGGTGTGATATCCTCGAAGGGAAGGATGTCGTTTTTCTTGCTCAAAATTACAGCATTTGGTTTGCTAATTTTGTACTAAAATAAGTCAAACAAGGACGTTATAAATATTCATAAAAAAAAATGTAGCAAATTTTTATTTTACCAAATCTTTGCTGCAGTTTTTTAGTGCATCGCTGGCTCGTCGACCAGTTAGGAAAATCTTTCTCTTGAAGTTTTCAACAACCTTTGGTTCCTTGGCTAGCAAAATTTTCTTTCCCTTCCTCGTAGTCGGTTTTCTGTAGAAACAAGAGTAAATAATTTATCAACGTTGCGGTAGAAACAAATTTTTTTTGTAGCATTTATGAATCTATGCATCATAATTCTGAGCATTTTTATTTACATAATTCCTGTTGCACTAACCTTACTCTCTGAAGTGAGTTAAGTGAAGGCATTTTCTATAGCTGGGATTTTACAAAAGTCACAAAAAAATCAACACAAATCTACTGAATTTCCAAAGATTGATGCTAAAATTGATTATTTGATTGATGCTGGTATTTGTTTCACGTGGTCCTGTTTTGTTCTGCTGTTCTGTTCACTTTGTTGATTTCAATAAACAAATGAAACGCGCCTAAACTCGTGCCCGACAGTCAACACCCCCTACCATCTAAATTATTGGCGGGAAGATGAATTAAATTGCATTTTGCTGAATTGCATAACCAAATTTTTCGCTTAGTTCAAATCGAAATTTTTAAAATGTTAAAATAAATGAAAATGATATTGAAAAAGGAAGTTTTTTATCTTGAATTTTAGAACTAGATAATCTGATCCTCTGCCCATTTTGGCAAACAAGTGACATTCGAATTGCGCATTCAAAATATACTAAATTCTCTGTCCTTTTTTTTAAGCAGCATCAACAAGGACAAGGAGTATTAATATAATATAATTATTATACGTGTAAAACAAAGTATTATTGACATAAAATTTAATATGTCGGCGTCAAAAATTGAAGTTGAATACTGGTAAGGTCTTCAATATCAAATATATATTCGATATATTCATCATTTTTTTTCTATAACCCCATTTTTAATGAAATCCTAAAAGCGTTTTTCCTCATCATGAATTTATTTATTTTCATTTCATTTTTTATTTTATTTTAAGTGGAACTTGCGGCCACAAGCAACAGTTCGATGAGCTAGCAGAAAAAGTGAAAGAGAAAATGCCATGGGCCGAATTATCAGGAAAAGAAGGCAGGAGAGGTAATTCATTGTAAATCTTATTATTTGAAAAATTGCAAGATCAGCTAGCTAAACGAGAATTATCCAAGGATCGTTTGAAGTGACAATTAACGAAACACTGGTCCATTCAAAACTGCAAACATTGGCATTTCCCGATTATGATGATGTCGTCGAAGCTGCAAAAGAGGCTGAACAAGGAAAACCAGTGAGGACAAAATTGAAGCAGCAGGTTATCACTAACTGTAGCATCTCTTGAATCTAATACTGGTCCCCATTTTGTAAATATTGTAGGGTAAAATTTTTTTAACAATAATTAAGGATGTGATAAATTGCGAGTTGGATAGATTTATTACGGCGCAAACCCAATACAAAATAAAATGCAAAAAAACTTGATGATTTAAGAAATATTGTAGTTCTACTTCTTCCTTCCACCTCTCTCTTTGATGGACAAGTTGATAACCATTCCAGGCATGATGTTGTAGTAAGCCAGGGTATTGCCATCCTTGAAGAAAACACCCTCCCAGTTCAACTTCTGCTTAGAAGGTGGTAGCCCCGTCTCTTCTTGTAGTTTAGCCTTGAGAAGGGTTACCTGTTCGCTCAGGCTCATGCTGACACCAACCATCTGACCGCGCAGACGAAACTCGCCCTTGTCAGGCTGGTTCGGAACAATGACCTGCAAATAAATTAAACATTTTTTAGAAAACGTTTTCAAACAAATCATTTTTCAAAGTTAAATTTTATCTTAATTATTGTTTTCAAAAACATATTATAAAAATGCATACCTTAAACTGCACAGGGCTTTTGTGCGAGGCCAGAAACTCAGCTTCGGGCATGAGAGTGTCTTCGGTTCGCTGCCTCTTTGCTCCAGGAGCTTCCTCCAAGTCAACCTCCATAGGGTGTTTCATCGGCTGCGGAGGCGGCACCACCGGGGCACTAGTTGGAGGCATGTAGGGTGGCATTGGAGGTGCAGGGTAGGCAGGTCTGGCCATCAGCGGTGGCGGAGCTCGCATGGCTGGAGGCGGCACCATCAACATTTGCTGTGGGCCAGGACCCATTGGGTTAGGACCAGCCATCTGAGGCATTGACATTGGTTGCGGGGGCGGTTTTGGAAGAGCAATGATGGTGGCTGGCTTGTTGGTCACGGTTGGAAGAGGAGGAAGTTGCTGCTTTGACGGTGGCTGCGGCCCTTTACTAATGGAGGCAGCCAGCAAGACATGCTTAGGACCAATTTTCTCTTTCTCTTCATCAGGCAGCAGACCCTTGGTTTTGTGGATCTGGTGGATTTGCTCTTCAAGACTGATGTTTGCCCTCGCAGCTCGGGTGGCGGCTTCGACAGAGGATGTGTGGCCATCCCATGTGATCTAAATGAAAAAATTGAATATTCACTCAAAGAACGGATTTGCAGATTAAATCACGACACATAGCAACAGAAATAAGAAATTTGATAAATTTCTCTGTATTAATGAGTTGTTTTACCAAGTTGTGTCTGAACATGTTCAATAACTGAAAATTCTAATTAAGTAATAAATGTTGATAAACGCACATGACGACCTACCTTGTCATCTTTCTTCTTTTCTTCCTCACCGATCTTTTTACCGATAGCAGTTTCTTCATCACCAACACCAAAAATATCAGTACGTCTTTCAGCCAATTGCTTAAGACTGGCCTCGATGGCCGTGCCTGGGGCGTAAACCGTGTCTTGGCCCATTCTCTCATTAATGTGCTTATCTCGCTGCTCCACCCAGCGTGGATCAAGGAGGCCAATTCGCATGTGTTCTTGCACCTTGCTGGCAGGAATTCGCTCACCAGTGATGGGAGAAATGAGATACTCTTCCGTTGCGGACGAGATTTTACCCTTGGCTGAAGTGAAGAGTTATTGATTTGTTCAAAAATTATGGAAAGTTACAAACCTTGTTTGGGATCATAGCCTTTTTTAACCAGCACTTTGTCAGGAACTGGAGGCAAAGGCGGCGGCTGCGCTTGAGCCATTGGCAAAGTTGCCGGTGCAGGATTGAGCCTCGGAGCCAGCATTGTCGGTCGTCGAATTTCTTCTTCTTCATCACTTGATGCCTCTTCCATGTCGGTGACCTGGGGTTAAAAGTTAATATTAAAACATAAAATCTAACAAAATTTCACAAATTGAAAATGATTTTAGAGTTTTTATATTTATTTATGGGGATCATTATACCTGTGTATTGTCTCGGCCTTCTTCGTCACTGTCCAATTGCATGGCCACTTCCTGGCCGTCCTCAATACGCTCCTGCATCAGAACTCGGGCACCAACCTCCTCAGGAGTGGTTGGTGGAGGAAAGTGGCCATGCTCAAATGGCTGGTAGTCAACAGTTTCCACAACCACAAAGTCATGCCAGTCAATTTGAGCATAGGCAACTCTTTCCTTCTCCAGCTCCTCTGCCTCTCTCATTCTTTGCGCCTCTTGATGCTTAAGCCACTCAGCTCGATAGCGCACATGATCCAGCACAATCTGCTGAATTTTAGCCTCGTCTCGAAGCTTGAACAGAAGTTCTTTTGGCGGTATCAAAACCTATAGCACACTTATTAGATTTCAGGATTTAAAATAAATAAAGTTAGTTACTTTAGTGTATTGTTCCAAGAGCTTGGTGAAGTATTGGAAGAGAGAATGCTGAGGACGAAGAAAATCAAATTGGTAGTTTCTCTGCTCCCTGTTCATCAAGTTGGTCAAGAATTGCCGTCCATTCCTTGCCACAAACTGTGCCGTAAGCTTTACTATGTCACTAAAAAAGAACTTGTTCAGATACAAAATGCATATTTCACACACACAAATTACAGGTCAAGAGCCGAGATAGAAGGTGGATCAGCAACGAACTCAAACTCTGCAGGTGGCTCTCGGGGGATGAAAGGCTGCTCTACCTGCTTCAAAATTTCTAGCTGCTTCTGCTGAGCGGAAGCAAGCAGAGGCTTTTGGATACCTCCGGGTGCTTCGGTAACTGGATTTTAAAAGCATTTGATTTAAATTAAAAAACCTTCAATAATTAATCAATACACTTACTTCGGCCCGATTTGAACTCGCCCACTTTGTGTTGGTAATAGGCATGGTAAGGGTCGCCGGTGCTCAAGAAATTGAACTTCGGGTTGCCCAATTCATTGGCTTTGATTCGAGCCTCGAACTCGGGCCCGTTTCGTGCTACGAAACTGGCAGTCTTGTCGACGATGTCTTAGCACCATTAAGGAAAAAACCTTTGGGAAACAAGTTTGACACTCAAATATCTCCACAGATACCTACCAAGGAGCCAAAAGGCTCCCGAGACCGGAAAGTAGCATTGAATAATGCACCTCACGGCCACAAGTTTGGAACAAAATATAAAATAATATTAATACTGAATGAAGTTTTTGATAAAACAAAATATATATATCCAGCATATTTTGCGTAAATGAAAGGATACTGCGTACTTCAGGAGGCGGATAGATGAGGCCAATGTTGGCAGAGGTTGTGATCGGTGCATCCTGTGGTGCTTCTGCGAGAGCCGCCTCCGCCGCCTCTCGCTGCAGAATGTGTAGCGGCACATCTAAATCTTGACCCACTGTCTCTAAACCGGGCATCTTGGCTCACAAAATAGATTTTAGTTACAAAACAATAAATGTTTTTGGTTTTGCCGGAGCATTAAAATTCAAACCGACGCCATATTGGTCGCCATATTGATTGATAAAATCATTAAAATCATCAAAAATTCCTTCTTGCATCAAAACACATCAAAAGAGAAAAGGGCCGCCAACCAAATGGCAAATTAGAAAAAGAAACAGAGATGCGGTTTACAAAACACTGCCATTCTTTGGCCAATCTTCTTTCGTTTTATTTTTATTAATTTCATACTGTCTCTGCCGCAGGTATGTATACCATACCTCACAGCTTTTTTAATCAGATATTTTGGTTATTCAATCTAGCTAATTTTGTATGTGAATATGTAAACATTCGCTTATGAATGTACAAAACACAAATTTGTTGTTAATTTTGCAATGCCTTTTAATTATAGGTTTTAAATTTATTTCAAAAATTTATAAAATAATTTTTGGTAGGTGTTCGTGACATGGAAACTATAGGAACCTCATGCACTATTGTGAAAAAAATTGTCATTGCCAAGGAACTTCTGTCCAGTGTAAATAATGACCTGACTTGCACACAGCCAGGGTGCAACAAAGTCTTCAAGTCGTCCTCAAATTTAGATCTACATTTGTGGAAGTCTCACAAAATACAAGAAAAAATGCCTACGGCTGAGGAAAAATTTGTCAAAATCCAGTATCACTGTCCTGAAGCTGGATGCAAATACAATTTAACACTTGGAAGATCTTTCCCCAAAGCAAAGCTACTAAAACAAGTAAAGTTTAAATTTAAAATAAACTCTGGTAATTGATATTCTAAAATTTTTAGCATTACTTGCAAAAACATGCTGAGAGGAATTTTGAATGTGACAACTGCAATACATTTTTTGCAACGCAGGCTTCCAAGAATTACCACCAGAAGACCTGCGGGTGTCAGTTTTTGTGTTCGTGCGGAAAAGTCTACGACAATGGTCAAGCAGTAAAAGTTCATGCAATGCGGCACAAACACACACTGCCAAAGAATTACATGTAATTATTATTTATAAATTACAAATAATTTATTCATCTCGTATTGAAATTTACAGAGTAAAAGTTGGCCTGACACAGACGCAACCTATGGATGCCCTGCCTGCAATCCAGCTGATGGCAGCTGTGGCGTTGAGCGAGTTGTGCAAACCAGTGCAAAAGGATGCAGAAGTCCAAACAGACCCTGAGGAAAAGCAAAAGAGAAAGCAGATATCACCAAGCAAACTTCCTGGTAAATTTTTCTATATATACAAATTGGTGTGTTAATATAATTTCATTGATTATTTCAGGACTCAAAAGACGCAAGTCGACCACTAGTCAAGAAACACAAACCCAGTCAACAAGCAGTTCTATTTTGAAGCGAGCAATGCTGGAGGCTAAAATTCCAGTTCGGGCGTCAAAAAGGAAGAGAAACACCGAGACTCAGACCATCAGGAAAACTCCTAAAAAACCTAGAAAATCCATGAAGTCAAACGAAACGCAGACAGCCAAGCCTCCAACTTTGTCCTCCGGAACTCAGTCCATGAACCAAGAAAGTTCCTACGAGCCTCAGCCCATGATGGAGCTAAAGTCCACCTCTCCGCTGTTGGAAGAAATGAGCAAGGAGGAGTCCGAAGTGATCAATGACGTTGCCCTTCCTGATGGTTGGATCAACCAGAAGTCAACACAGACAATGCCATTTGACTACCCCTCTTTGGACACCCTCCTCAGTGACTACCGGTTCCAGTCCAGTGAAACGCAGACAGACTTGTTTGACGAAAACTTCCTCAATGAGTGTGAGGCTAGTTTGTCGATCAATACTGAAACTCAGACTTGTGAAGAGTTGAACGAGTCTCTGGAGAACATGCTTTATTCAAACATGTGTACCCAAACTTGTGATGAACTCTTGAGCAGTCTCGACTTTGTTGACATCGAAACGCAAACTCTCGGCTTGAACTGAGTAGCTTATAATATGAATTTATATATTAAATGTGTAGCTCGCTTTTGACCGACGTGTTGTAAGGTTAACATGGGAGTTTCGGTCAAAAGTGTATGAGGCAAGTGATATATCTTTAACTGTTGAAATGAAAAATAGATCACATTGTGTTAATCAAAGTTAATTTAATTTTAATTGATTCACTCTTCACTCCCATCCCCAAATACCAGAACTGTCCTTAATAGTCGAAGCATTATCTCTGCGGCTTCTAGTGGTAGCGCTGGCTTCACCTTTGGCCTTCATCCTCCGCTTTGCAGCCTCACTGCTTTGCCTGGTGATCATCTTCTTCACCCTGGCCCTTATTACCTCAGGCGCAATTGTAGATGTTGTAGTCACACTACACATATCGCTTGAAGGGCCTCTGCCTCTTGGTATTTCAAGCTCATCTGGAACTGATTAACTTTAATTAATACAAGGTTTTATTAATAATGTCTAAACTGCATTACAGTCTGTCTCATCTAAATCAAAGTTTTCCTCTGAAGTTTTATCTCGCTCAGGGAAATCTATTAGAGCTGCAATTGCCTCAGAAGGAGCTGCGATGATATTTTCCTCTGCTGTTACCACTTTATCCTCTAAACTTATTTGCAATTTGGGAAGCTCGATTTCTCTAGCAAGTAGATCTTCATCTTGAAGCTTGAGGTTTGACAGATCGACCTGCTCCTCCGGTTCGTCTTCATCTTCCTCATCTTCATCCAAGCCCATTTGAACATCCAAATCTTTTTTCATCTGCTTTGTAAACCCACTGGCAAATACTTCAACATCCAAGCTTTCCTCCCTAATAACGTCTTCAAAGGAGGGATGAAGAAGGCTCTCGTATGCGAATCTCTTTTTGAAAAAATCCCTGATGCAATTCACATCTCTTTCGAAGAACATTTTAGCTTCTGCATGCGAGGTGGAGACCATCTGCGGAAAGTCGATTATGATGGGTTTGCCATCTTGTGTGATCATGATGTTGAACTCGTTGAAATCACCATGGATTACTCCGTGATTGGCCAATTTTACAATCAAGTTCATCAAGTCGTCATAGAGCCCTTCCACGTCAGCAACCTCTGCCACTTGACACCTGAGTAGATTATTTAATTACTGTGTTCAATTTTTCTACATTTCAATTACATTGGGGTGCCTTCAATTAGCTGCATCACAATACAGTGGCGACTGAAATCAATTGGCTTTGGAACAGGAAAACCTCTGTCGTGCAAAACCTTCATGTAGGCAAACTCTTTCATAGCAGAAATTCTTGATAGATAAATCCACGAAACAGATTTTCTGTGTTTGTGGTAGTCTCGCTTTTCTTTGATTTTTCTAAAGCAAATTCTTCCCAGCCTGGTAACAAATGATGAGTTTTAAATTTTCAAGTTAGTGAATAAAAATTAACCTGTGGATTTTCAAGCACAACGTTTCTTGCTCCTCATTGCCAACAACATAGATATTAGATTCCTTTCCCGTCCCAATCTGATTTCCAAAGGATGTGATAACATTTCTCATGCTGAGTGTCTTCAAAGCCAAGTAATCATATCCCTGGTTTGTTAAGCGATACCCATCATCTGGAAAGGAAAAAATTATTATGAAATAAAAATCACTATTTGAGGCTTACAGTGCTTTCCACGTTCATAGGTGAGAAGTCGGTGCTTACAAAGCTCTTTCATTACTTTGTGCGCTCCGCCATGCCGAAGATTCGCGATGCTTGCAACAAGAGCTGCAGGTACCAACTCGTGGTTTTTCATTCCCATCTCAACCTAAAATTTGAAAATATTGTGATTAATGTGATTCAATTTTAATTCCATGCCAGACTATTTAAAATTAAAATTACAAACCCCAGTCAAAATACGAAAGTCTTCTTTCGTGAGGTAGCGAAGAACAGTCACGTTCAATTTTCCCATTTTGTGACCTTAAAATGGAAGAATTTATCCAAAAAATTGACGAATATCAAAGATTTTTAGGAAGATTATTATTTGCAACAATATTTGTAAATTATAGAACTATATGGATACATATTAGAATTTTGAATCTTCAGATGCATGTGAATGAACGAACAATAAACACATGGCCACACGCACATGCATCGACGTGACGAGGTTGCCAACAAATTGCAAACCATTTCAAATAAAAATTTGTAAAAATTCTCATGATGAAATTTTCAAATCTTCATTCTTTTTAAAAAAAACTTTTAAATTTTAAGAGAAAAAAAAATTGAAAACAAAAGTCACGAAATGATGAAATTTTATTGATTGTTTATTTAAAATTCTGAGGCTGGCTATAATTTGTCACGTTCACATCTTGTTTTTACTTATCATGCTGGGCAACTTGTCAATTTTTTTAAAACACATGTGTTTTTGCATGCTGTTGACTTGCTGCACGTGTGTTGTTGTGTTTCATTTCTCGACATAATTTTTCTCTTCAAAATACTGTTTATTAAATTGCAAAGAACGTTTATTTATGTGGATCCTGAAGTGAAATTTGAGCAGAACATCGAGTCTTCCTAGCACGTGTTTCTAAAACTGTGTGAAAATGATCGTTTCGGACCTAAACAATGTGAAAATTTACAATCTCAGCGCCGGAAAGTCGCTTCCAGAGGTTTGATACAACTTTTTTTTTAAATCACTTGTTTATTAAAATTCATTTTTCTTGCATTTTCAAACAATAGTGGCTTGCTGAAAGAAAAAAGTCAAAATCGTCTTGGAAAAAGAGCACAGGTATGTTAGTATCAATGCAAATGCATATATTTTTTATAATAATATACATAATTATTTTTTAAGAGTACCAACGTCAGATTGAGCTCATCCAGGAGTTTGACATGCCTGCTGTGAGCACAACAGTAAAAATGTCTCCAGATGCCCAGTTCATTCTTGCCACCGGCATCTACAAGCCAAGAGTAAAATGCTTTGATGTCAACAACCTGGCTCTGAAGTTCGAAAGGTGCTTCGACTCCGAGGCTATTACGTTTGAAATTTTATCAGATGACTACAGCAAAGTAATTGCATTCAATATTTATAAGACGATAATTTTTATTTCCCTGTCTAATTACAGATAGCATTTCTGCAATGTGACAGGTACATCGAGTTTCACGCAGGCTTCGGAAGATACTTTAGGCTGCGAGTACCAAAATTCGGACGTGACATGACCTATCACACTCCATCCTGTGATCTTTATGTTTGTGGCTCAGGGTACTTGTTTTAATTTTACGTTATTTGTAGAACTAAAAACTAAACTTTAATGTTTTAGATCTGATATCTACAGACTGAACTTAGAGAGAGGCCAGTTTATGACGCCTCTTGTATCAGATGCCACGGAGTTCAATTGTGGTGCTACAAACTCTCAGCACCACTTGATGATGTTTGGGAGCAAAGAGGGTAAAGTTGAAGCATGGGACCCTAGGAGTAGGACCAACGCAATGAAGCTCGACTGCGCTTTTAGTTGTGCTGAAAAAATGAAGTATATTAATGTTTTTACTTAAACCTTATTCTGCTAATAATAAAATATTCTACAGTGATCCAGAAGCTCAATTTCCATCAGTCACGGCATTGAAGTTCAAGGACGGTCTCCACTTTGGGGTCGGCACTGCGTCAGGCCAAGTTTTACTTTACGATCTCCGTTCGTCAAGACCTCTTCTGATAAAAGACCACATGTACGGTTTGCCGATCAAATGCCTTGAGTTTCATGCTGAACAGAATATGGCTCTGTCGTTGGATTCCTCAGTTCTCAAAATTTGGAATTGCGATAATGTAATACACTTGTTTGTTTTATTACATAAATTTACAAGCTAATTTTTTTCAGGGAAATCTCTTTACTTCAATTGAGCCTGGTGTTGAGCTGAACCAATTCTCTGTAATTCCAAAGTCGGGAATGATGTTCATAGCAAATGAGAATCCAAAAATCCTCACCTATTACATTCCAGTAATTTAAAAATTATTTTTGTTCCTAATAATTTTACAAAATTTTACAGTCTTTGGGCCCCGCTCCACGATGGTGTGGCTTTTTGGATCGCCTTACAGAGGAATTGGAAGAAAGCAACCATCACAATATTTATGACGACTACAAATTCATCACTTCAAAGGAAGCTGAGGATCTGGGCTTCTCGAACTTGATTGGCACCAATTTAATGAGGGCTTACATGCATGGGTACTTCATTGATAACAGGCTGTACAGGAAAGCCAAGGCGCTTGTTGAGCCATTTGCCTTCCAAGAGTATAGGCGCAAGAAAATTAAAGAGAAGATTGAAGAGACCAGAGCGAACAGGGTTAAAATGCCTGTAAGTTAAGTTAAATTTAAGTTATTATTTGTTTTAAACTTTAAAAAAATTTATAGCAAAAACTGCCTCAAATCAATAAGGATCTGGCTATAAAACTATTGGAGCAAGGCGAGAGTGAAGGAAAGAAGAAAAAGAAACAAGCTGGTCCTTCACTTCTGGGTGACGACAGATTCAAAGCCCTCTTTGAAAATGCTGATTACGAAGTTGACACAACAGCTGAGGCTTTCAGGCAAGATTTATTATAAAATAAATTTAATAAAATCTAATTTGAATTCCTTTTCCAGACTGATTAATCCAGTGGTTTCCAAGTTAGACAATAAGAAGGCAAAGAAGAAAGTCCAGGCAGCTGATAGTGAGGAAGAAGACATCGAGTCGGATGATGATGGCCGAGAGGAATCTAGTTCGGATGATGAGCACACATGGACAAAGGAAGTGAAGAAGCAACACAAGCTTATTAAGAGAGAGCGTTTGCAAAGAGCAAGAGAAGAGGAGATGAAGAAACCTTCCACTTCTCAACCGAAGATGTACGAACTGAGGGCCGGAGAAGAGTTCAAGTGGATCAACAAAGAAGATAGGAAGAGGAAAAAGTAGGAAAAAGCTTTACATCATGCAAATTATTCAAAATTTATTGTCTCTAGGGCTTCTCTTGGGGAGCGGCTGAAAGGTGAAGAATCAAACGAAGTTTTCAAGTCGTTTGGCAGCTCTCGAGAAATGAGTTTCAGCACAAGAACAAGAAAGGTAGGAATAATTTATACATCAATGAAATGATAATAAAAGAATATACTGCTTTTGCATAGGTTGATAGAGAATTGAAAGCCAAGCAGAGGCTGAAAAATCATCACGAAGAAAGAAGAAAATTGCAAAGGTCTGTAAGAGGCCTAAGATTAAAACCTATCCCTGGTATGTCTGGACCTGGACAAAGGAGGCCTCGAAAATAAATCGCACCGTTGATTTTTTTAAATTAAATTAACATTGTTTTATTTTATTGCATAAAATCACCGAATTGGCTACATAAATCAATTGCGAAAAGATGAAGTAAATTTAATTTAAAACGCAATGTTTAGCGATATTTAGACTGCCATCTTCAGTGTAAAAGTAGAATGAATGCAAGATCAACTTGACGACGTCAGCCTCCTCCGATTGGCCACCTATCTTTCTTGACGTCTGATTGGTTCTAAGTTCAGCTACCCCGCCGCCAAAATAAAAAATAAATAAATTTGCAAAGATGGCGGAATAATGAGCTGATGTTCTTTGTCAAACATTTAGTTTTTACCGTTTTCAACTCTCGTTCAGTATGAAAATCACTGACGACTTTGAGTCAATTGAATTGACTGAACCAATTTTTAAAGATGTGAAATATTTCGTCACCGGGAAACTACCACAGAAGGTAAAAAAGCAATCGTGTTTTCAGCCCCTTCAGAATTGTGTACAGTCGACTTTGTTTACCTTGTTCGATATTTTTTTATTGTATTTTTCATTAATTTTAATTATGTAATTATGTTACGATGAATACTAATTCTGACCATTCTAACGAAGGTAACTTCCTTGCTGAACGACGGAGGGGCGAAGAAAACTAATTATTTGAGCGAAATTGTAACCCTTTGCATTGCCGGCGAGGACTTTAACGAGAGCGAAATCGCTGAAGCAAAAGACATTTACGAAATCCAATCCGTTACCTGGAAATGGGTCATCCTGTCAGCAAGATGTGGAACCCTTCTGCCGTATCCTTGTCTAAAAAAACTTAAAATTTTCTGACTATACTTACAACTAAATAATTAAACTTAAATTTGAAAATTTTACTACACATAATCAACATTATACACTGTGTAAAGATTCTTGTGCAAATACATTATTTTCCTTCATTGCAACGTTCAGTGTCAAAGGTTTCCTGGCAGAAACAACGCAATTGTTCTCAGAAGTGGTCGCATGTGTTTCTTCACTGTCATCGGAGGACAACAATGCTCTTTGGGCAATGCTGAATTTCTATGGGGGAGAAATGGTCACAAAACTCTCCAAGTCATGCACTCACCTAATTGTTTCACGACCAACTGGGGTAATTATTTAATTAATTGGCTTTATTTAACTATTTTAAACATCAAATCTTTAGGCTAAATATGAAAAAGCCGTTCAAGAGAAGGAAAAAGGCCAGAAAATTGAAATCGTCACGCCTGACTGGATCATCGAGAGTGTCAAAAGCAAAAGCCGTTGCGATGAATCTCTATTCCATCCAAGCCTATTGATTTTGCCAGAAGACAAAAAGGCCAGTGATGGTCTGTCCTCATCAATTGCAGACATCACGGGCTTTGCAGAGCCTGAGGCCACTGAAGAATGCACCACTCCAACAGCAAAGCCTGCACCTCCAGTGTTGGATCCAAATAGGTGTTTATTTTAACCATTTTTGTGAAATTTATGCATTGGGTAACTTAATTAATCATCTATTTAATAGGTATGAGCGACTGATGGAAATGTTAGACCAAAGAAAACAGCAGGAGCAGCAAGTTAATGCAGCGCAACAGCAGTTGTCGAACATCCAACTTCAGCAGCAACAACTTTTGCAGCAGCAGAAACAGGCTCAAAAAATGCAGCAACAGACTCCGATTCAAAACCTTGAGGCTCTCCAGCAGCAGCAGCAGCAACAACAACAACCAGTAGTCCAAAGACCTCCCATGGCCCAGCAGCCACAAGTTATGCAACAGCAACAACCTCAAATTCCTCAACAGCCGCAGCAAATGCAGCCAGGGATGATTCCTCAGCAACAGCAGCAGAGGTTCCAATTCCAACAGCAACAGTACCAGCAGAGAATGCAACAAGGATCCATTATCCAGGGTCAGCAGGGCCCTCGGATTATGCTCACTCAGCAGCAGCTGCAGCAGCGAGCCATGCAGGGCAGCATGCAGTTTAGAGCACCTCGATACATCATTGCTGATGGGGTTCGTCCTTTCTTATTATTACTATCTATAAAATTTGTTATCTGCTACTTTTTTTACAAGAAAATTGCTTAATATTTATTACCCTTCTTAAAAATGGTTTGTTCTTTTATTTCTAGAAACAATATGTGATTAACTCGGCTCAGCAAGCGCAGCAAGTTGCAAATTTAGTGCAGGGTGTTCAAGGTGCTGTGCAGATGCAAGACCAACAGCAGCAGCCTATGCAGACACAAATGCAAGGGCAGCAAAATGTACAAGCGGTGCAGCCGCAGCAGCAACAACAGCATTTTGTAAATGCTCCCCAAATCCAGCAAGGAAATGGTATGATATTAAAATTTGAAATACATGTGACATAAACAGTAGAACGATATTTTCCCAATTCGTTAATTTTGCCTTTGATAAAATAATTATGTAATAAAATTTTCAATAGTTGCTGCAGGCCAAAACTGGCAGCAAGGGCAACCTCAACAACAATTTCAAATGCAACAGCAAGGCCCACCTCAACAGCAGCAGTTCCAAATGCAGCAAATGCAAGTTAACCAACAACAGCAAATGGCTATGCAACAGCAGCAGCAGCAACAACCCCAACAAGTCGGAGGTGGCATGCAGATGAATCAAGGTAATTAAAAGAAACTAAAGTTGGATTTTATCGATTTTATTTTTATTAGGTGTGCAACAAGTTGTGAATCAACTGCAAGGGCAAGCTGGACAGATGCAGCCCCAACAAGGTCAAATGCAGGGGCAAGGGACCCCCATTCAAGGCCAACACCCCATCCAGAATCAAATGCAGAGCCAAATTGTCCCGGTTCAAGGACAAATAGGGCCCCAAATCCAGGGCCAAGTTGGGCAGATCCAAGGCCAGGTGAACCAAATTCAAGGTCAGATGCAAGGCCAGCAGAACCAACAGCAACAGACAGCCCCACAGAGGCTCCTCTGGCAGCAGACGACCCCTCAAGGTCACAGGCAGTACTTCCAGCTCGACCCGCAGACCCACCAACAGTTGCAGGCCATGGACCCAGCCCAGAGACAGATTTTCATCCAAAAGCTGCAGAAGAGGCAGCAGCTCATCCAGATGCAACAGCAGCAGGTACAAAATTGGATTTTCTATTTAAATTATTGTAATTTCTTTGGGCACGTAAGGCTCAGGCTCGCCTCCAGCAGCAACAACAAGCAGGCGGAATTGCCATTCAGGGTGCCACCAGGCAGCCACTCACCCCACAACAGCAAGCTGCCCTCCGCCAGCAATTCCAGCAACAACAGCAGAGGCTCGGTTTGTCTCCGCAATGGCGAGAGGCAATTCCTAATCAGCAGGGTCCCCGCACAGTTCTCATTCAAGGACAACAACAGGTATGTAAATAAAGCTAACAATTCAATTGCAAAATAATGTTCAGCTCGATTAGCATTTGTTCCTTTTGATGTTCAACGAAGATAATTTATTTATGATTTAAATTGTTAAATATTTGGAAAAAGGAAAATAATGACATTTAGTTCATTTTCGTTCATTTTAAAATTTTTAATTTATTCTAAAATATAACAAAGTTGTTAATTGATTTTGTGGTTTTAAGATTGTGGTGCAAAGACCCCAACAGCCCATGGCTATTTCGTCACCTCAAGCAACACCTACCCCTGTCCAACAACAGCACTGGACCCCTGGAACTCCTGGGGCGCCTCAGCAACCTGCTGGTGTCGGCGCTCCTGTTCAGACAGTCCAAACAGCCGGGATTCAAACACCAGGCACTGCGATTATTCAAGGGGCCACTTTGCCCCAGGACGAGGCCCAACGCCAACTTCTTCTGCAAAGGCAGCAACAGCTTCGCCGACTGCAGCTCATGAAACAGCAGCAGCTGCAGGCCCAAGCCCAAGCGGGACAAGTGGTACAGGGACAAGTGGTTCAAGGCCAGGTTGTTCAGGGAGTCCAGGGTGGACAGGTGGTGCAGGGTCCTCGAATGGGCACCCCACCCTTTGCCGTTGCCCAGGGAGTTGTTCCAGGGCAAGTGCCTCAGCAGGTAATTGATTTTTATTTTTTAAATTCACTTGAGCGTCTTTTAATTTAGACGGTTTTAGTTTGAGCTAGATCTCTTAGAGTTCTTGGTGAGTTTATCTTAATTGAGATTTGACAAAGCAATTATTCATATTTAGGTCGTGGCCGCTCAGCAAGCGACCACTCCGGGTGAGGACGGTGCTTCGAGCAACAGTGCCCCAACAACACCGCAGCCAGCCACCGCTGATGGTCAGGTCGGGACGCCAACTCCACCTCAACAGCAACAGGCACAGTTCCAACAAGTAAGTCACCCTAGAGTAAGAAAACCAAGATATTTAAATTATTTTACAGCTTTTGGTAAATGCGAAGACCAAAACTGCACTTGCGAACATGCTTAGCAGTCGTCTCCAGAGTGGAGGGGCAGGTGAAGCGACCCCTGCCTCTGTCCAGCTACGCCTGATGACTCAGCAGCACCAACAACAGCAAAGGCCACCTCAGGTATTGGCTTGTTTTAATTCATTGTTTAAATTTTTTTTAGTCATTTAAAAATTTTTTACAAATTTTCACGCTTGATTTTAAATTTTTCCAAATAAATATTTAATGCTTTTTTTAGCCTGGCGTTGCGGGTCAGCCTGTCGCTATGGCCCCTCAACAAATACAGCAGCAACCAGTAGCCGCTGGGGTTGGAGTTGGTGTCAACAATCAAAACCAGCAGCAGTTTTTGCTCACATATCCACCAAGGGGCAGAGGCGCCGCAGGTCCAAATCAGCCTACCCAAGTTCTGGTTCGCAATGCCCAGGGCATTGTTCAGTACACGTCAACCAGAGTTTTGGCCTTAAATCAGCAAGGAGCTGCTAATGTTCAGCCAGAGGGAAGCCAGACCCCTACTCCGGGACCTCAGCCGACAATTCAAATCCAATTTTACGGACACAGTCCCAATATGAAAGGTAGCAGAAAATTTTTAAGTAAAAATTTTTGTTACTAATTTTTGTATCTAGTGCCTCCAAATTTGTGCCTTTTGGGATGCGTCTTCATGACTTCTGAGTATGCTGCCATGTATAGTAATGAAGAACTCGAGGCTTGGCGCAATCAGATTGTGAATCACGGTGGCGAAGTAGAGAACTTCTACAGCACAAGAGTCACACACGTTCTTTGTCCACATCAAAGATCGGCTCTCGCAACTCTTGCTGCTAGGGAGGGTAAACGGCTAGTTTCTGCCTTTTGGCTGAATGACGTCCTTCTGAAGCAGCGGATGCTTGCTCCTTGGCAGGCACTGCATCTTCCTCTGGCGTACAAGTAAAATAACAAATTATATGTACAATGGAAAAAGAAAAAACTTTTGTGTTTTTTAGTGAGGATACTCGTCCTTTGAAGAAATTCATCATCACTAGCTCTGGATTTACAGCAGAGGAAAAGGAGAGAATTAAGTACATTGTTACCACTCTTGGTGGCAGATACACACCTTACCTAACAAAGGAGAACAAAATTCTGATCTGCAGAAAGTAAATATGTTTTTTTTCTTTTTTCTCCATTTTCTAACAAATATTTCCAGAGCGGAGGGAAAGAAATATAACCAAGCAAGGCAGTGGCGCACCACAATTGTGAACGCTCATTGGCTGCATGAAATCATGCTAGGCCAGTTCCGAGCTTTACATGCTTCTGGCTATGCCAAGTACCAGCAGTTCAATGACAATCCCCTTGGCCTTGATTACTCAATCGTGCCCCATTTGATGCGTAAGTTTGTTATTTTCTTTGACCTTGGTGTTGGTATTAAATTGGAGAACGTTTTAAGTTGCATGGAAAGTGCCTGTGCCAATTTCACCTGAAAGTTTGGAGCGAGGGAAGTTGCTGCAGCAACAACACATTGCCTCAGGCCAGCTGAACAATCCAAAGAAACGACCAGCTCCTATTCCTATTGAGCAGGCTAACAAAATGGATAGGCCTGGCTCGAAAATTCTCAAAATGGAAGAACTTCAGCTGCCAAATGAAAATGGAGAGTTGCATCAACCCCCTCCTGCTCCAGAACAGAATAGTGCTGACAAAGTGTTTTTCCAACTTTCCTATGTTACTAAAAGAGAAGAGCTTCAGGTAAACTCATTTTATTATATAGTATTATCAAAAGTTAATTATTAAAATTTTTAGAAACAAGCGGAAGAGTTGGGAGGAGTGCTTACAAAAGACTATGACAAGCTTACCCATTTGGTAATGCGAGATGCAGAGAGAACTGAAAAACTCTTGTGTGCAGTGTCCAAGGCAAAGTATATCGTTAATGAAAAATGGCTATCGGAAAGTGCTGCACAACAGAAATTTTTAGGTATATATTCGTTAAATATATTGCGAAAATCAGAACTTCATAATTTTTATGATTTCAGATCCTGATCCTTACATTTTTTCCAACACCAATTTGGAGCAGCATTACAACTTTGGTTTTAAAGAACTGATGAAAAAGCCAAACAGGGACCAATTATTCAAGGTAGGATTTATTACTTAAAAATTTTCAGTCAATCACTTCAATATTTTCTTATCAGGACCGTGTATTCTACATCTCTCCTGGCTGCACGCCGGTTGTTCACGTAATCGAGGACATAATAATGTGTGCTGGCGGGCAGGTGGAGAAAAAGCGCCGTCCAGTCGCTCATGTTGTTGAAATGAACAAGGCCAACCCCAACTCTTATATCATCCTCTCCGACTCAAATGATCTCCATTTAGTCGTTGACTACATCAATGCAAACATAGGTTGGATATAACATGGAATTATTTGGTTGTTTATTCATGCTTGTATTGACTGATATTGCAGATATCTTTTCTGTGGAGATGGTGTACTCCAGCATCTTCAAACAAAGCCTGGATCTGACTGACCAACACAAAATTGTTTTAAGATGAACAAAGTGTTAAATTGTAAGTGTTTTTAATTTTTAACCAAACCGTATCTGGTTCATTTTGAGTTTGAAAAATAAATGACAGTTAAAATTTGTAAATTGGAATCAAGTGTATTTATTGGGAAGTGAATTATTCTACTGCATGCAACAATGCTGATTTGAACATGTTTTTATGGAACCGTTCAAGATTGATTCTCTCAGAATCGTTATACAATAATTATACAACTTGTTCACTTATTTGCCATTTAATTTTTCTGCGTCTGTCTCATGGTCTCATCATGTTTTTTTGTGTGTGTCGCCCAAAGCTGAATAGCCCATAAAAGGAAAGATTAAAAGGCAGTGAAGAAGCACTTTTATCCAAAGACCGGTAGCTAATTCTCATTGCGTCGCAAAAACTGTAATTTCACAACCTCATTGCGGTGTGGCTGTTTTTTGCCTAATTCCATTGGTAATCGCAAATCACGCTCATTTGGCACCTGCAGCGAAACTTCTCGAACGCCGCAAACGCACACGACGCGCAATTTCGATAATCGGGCATTATATATTCAGAAGTGGAAAAAAAACAGATGCAATTATTAGATATGCACCAGAGTGACCGCATTGGACGTGTCCTTGTGCAGAGGTCATTCAACCTCACCTGAGGACCAGAGAATCAGAGAAAATGCGCCGTCAGCCAAAACCAAAATGACATAATAAGCGATAACAAGCTCTCATGATGGGTTTCGATCAAATCCAATTTTCAATCCCAGGTCGATCGTGAATGGAAACCCGATCAGCCGAGATATTAACTTTTCGTTCTCTTATTATATTCCGGACGCTGTTTTGTCAGCTCCACTGCTTTTTTTCTATTTGAAATTTAATAAATCTCTAGCTGCCGGCTATACTTGATATTTGATGTAATGGGCCTCTCTCTAGCGCCTCATGAGCGAGATTTACTTGGAGATAATTTCCTTATCCTTTACTTCTTATGTTTTTACCGAACCTTACTCGTCCTTGGACGTGCGTCCGATTGCATGATTTTTCTTTCTCTCAATCGATTTGGTTTGGTAGATTATTACGAACGCTATCTCTTTCGATGGATCTTTTTGTTTTTCTGCACTTGACGAGAATCGTGCATTCAATTCTCCGGCGAGATCCATCGTCCCCGCGATGCATAATCTTGTGAACCACCGCTTTTTGATGTTTATTTTAAAATTACATCAATGCAAAGAAATTTGTTTAGAACGTTCCTGGTTTTCTCGCCAACCAATTAAAATGGAAAAAATTCTGTATTGAAAGCGGCTGCACAAGAATGGAACGTTCGTTCACCTTTATTTGCATTGGCAGTGCGCCATATATGTTTAGAAATTAAGTGACTTTTAACTTTCATCAGAGTTGCTGCCAAAGAATGAAAGGTTCGACTCTTCTCTTCCGGCGCCGCGCGATCATCATCAAAAAGTCAAAACATCAAGCGCTGAATTAAAACATGCACGTACATATCGACACTTGCATTTTTTTATCCGCCTTTCATTTTTTTTTTTAATACCATAGCTCAAAAAAGATATCCCACGCGGGCTTATCTCGACTCTCATCACACGTCAGTACAAACTCAAAGTGTACGTTTTCTTGCTCTTTATATTTTGGAAGGTACCTGAGGCGCAATTAGCGTTCTCCGTACCCGCACATAGAGAACGTTCACCTGCACGAAAAGGCAAACGTGACGCACCTCTTCTTCTCCTTTGAAGCGCCGAAAAAGATAATATGAGACTATATTCTAATTCCTTTTTGGTCAGGCGGTGAAAAAATCTTTTCAGACGACTGTTCGATTTATTTCGTTGATTACGTTCGTCCGGTGGAGCAAGAAATCGAAGAGGAGATTCGCCTCTCAATCGCGAAGAAAATTGCTGCAATCGGCAGCACAAAAATAATAACAGCAGGACCTTCGTCTTTTATACACATGGATGATCAAACTAGCTTCTCTGGCAGCTCAAAATTACTGCGTGATGGTGGACTTTCAACGTTCATTGAATAAAAGAACTTCAAATTCAGCTTCGTGGGTGGCGATATTTGTATCTTTTTTTACAATGTTAGGAATTCGTGAATAAAATTTGCAAAACGAGGTATATACAAAATCTTTGGTCCTGGCAATATAATACCTATTGAAAAATCAAAAGCAAGTTATATTTTATATTGTTAAATTTCTTTTGAAAAATATTTTCTTTAATATTTTCAAATACAAAATAAATAAAAATATGATTAAAAAATTCCTTCATTTTTATAATTTTATTGTGAAAGTGCTAAAATTGCACGTTTTTATTTGTCCTTGCCCTTTATGAATAATTATTCAGTTATTCACCATTGTAATTTTATATTTTTTACAATCTAAAATGTTGCAATCGTTCCTATTCAGTTGGCATATTTATGCAAATTAATTTTACAACTTATCATAATTATCTCACCTAAACCACCTGGTTTCATAAACGCGCAATGCGCCTGATATAATTGGTGGCATTTTAAGCTAATTACGTTCAACTGCATACCTTTTAATATAAAGTGCCTCTTGGCACTGCAATTAAAATTAAAGACCCTTGAAGAATCCAGAGAGTTGTGCCTGATGATAAAAAATAAGCATTAATTTATGTAATGGGATGGGATACAAAAAACTGTCTTACATACTGCAGATAATTACAAAAAAAAAGTTTACTGTCTCAAAAATTTTAATCAATTTAGTACATATGCATATTTTTGCAAGGAAAAATTACTTTACTCTCACACTTAACTTAAATTATCTTAATTAATCTTCAAAATTTCGGGCACTTTCATTCTTCTTATAGACCTTTTTCTAAAACTTGAATTGAGAATAAATAATTAAACTAGTATTTCTGGGAAAACATCACAAATAGTTATATCTTTAGATAAAAATATTAGATATATTAACATTATTAATTATAATTTTTAATTTAAATATTCTACATCAACGTCTAGTTTGATTTTTTTTATCGCAATCTTTTCCCGATTTCTTTTTTCATTATATTTGTAAATCGTCTGATGTAGGTGTAATTAGGTTTTCAAAAGTATGTCGCAAAACTACGTAGTTATACCAAGAAAATTCTCCAAGTTTAAAATATATTGATAGAGCTGTTGTACTGTGGATGTATCTTGTATCGCGACATGAATAAATTTAAACAACAGAATTAATCATTCATAATACAAAAAAAAAAAACGTTTGGCCTCCTTTGGTTTCTGCCACCTCCAAATATTCCGATCATGGCAGGCAAATAATTGAAGCCATTGAATCAAACAATTCAAATTAATCGTTGGGTGGAGCATTAGTAAAGTTAATTAAAATTCTCTAGCTGTGCGCGCAGCACTCCATTGTCAGCCGATGTTGACGATAATTGTAACAATTATAACGAACCGTGTCAAAGTTACTCGGCACATTTCTGATCAAAAGCCAGAGGCGCAAAAAGCTGCTGTCGGACGAATGCTCGCGCCTCGTGCTTTATCATATTACAATAATGCAGCCTGAAAACAAAATTACTTTCTACTCTGGTTGTGTGTACGTTTGGCTTTGATGAGGCGTAATAATCACTTTCACACACTCGTTGGTCGCACCACGTAATTAGCGTATAACGATTTCGAGCGGCGGAATGAACTGAGCACCAAAAACGCCCACCAAAATTTTAAACAGCGAAATAGCGTTGAAACGCTGCGCGCATGTTAATGAATATTAATTTGAAACGAGAATTTTACAGTTGAGAGCGAAGAGGTTGAGAACGTGAATGCATGCAAAAGTCTCTCTCATTTAAAATGCGCGTGAACTGTAGTATTAGAGCGCAGTTGTTAAAAATTGATGATGAAGTTTAATTGTTTAAATTGTTTTGATTCAATATTATAATTGTCCAATTTTGATTAAAAGTCTAGCTGGCTTTGCCTTTTTTAATTTTTACATTTTAATATAAAAAAAAAACTATTTTAAATGTACTCATATTTTTATTAGTTAAAGTCAAAATTAAACGCAGCAAGAATTTTTAAAGGTGGGAAAAAAATTCCAAAACAATTTTAAAAGCCAAAATTTCAAGTTTTAATTAGTAATCTAAATGCTCTTAAAACAGAAATAAATCAATCGTTTGATTAAAAAAAATGGCAGTCTGGATTACTTTAACTGATTTGAATGATTTTAAAACCTTTAAAATTCTGTTGATTTTTTCCCTCAAAAATATTCTCTAGTTTTTCCTAGGAATGCTGAAGCAAATAAATAAAATAATTCAATATGCTTGCTCCGTTTTAAGTGCAGCAACAGGTTGAACAGTTTTTAATGTTAGGGGTCTGAAAAGTGCATTGAGTGAAAGCTGCATATCTCTTCTCTGCGTTCACGCCGCTGCTCATCTTCAGCGGTACGGCTGCGTTATTTTGTTTTTCTTTTTTCCTAGTAAGGTCATCGTGGCGTGCGATAAAAAGTGCTGCGCGACCTTTGTGTTACATTAATTAGAGGCGTCGCGTCGAGCAGCGAAACACTTTCTCTGATATATTCATTCCCGCTGTCCCTGCGCGCTTATTTTTTGTGAACTTGGCTGATCACAATGGGATGAAATTAATTGCGTTCGCGTTTTGCATTTTACACGCATTGTTGTTTTGCACCACACAAACTCGCATCACGCACGTCAGTTAATTGAATTCAGACTACGGAGCGTGCTAATTTAATTATCTCGCAGATGCGATCTCAAGTTGGGAGATATTTGTTTCTTCACACTTTTGGAATGTGCAGTGCCCTGATTTACTTAACCAGTAGACAGAAAACAATCGAAAGTTTTAAAAAAGGTCTCCAAAATTAAATAGACATTTTTATAAGCCTTGCATAAATGAAAAAATTTAGTTCTGTATGAAACGAGAAAAAATAATTCAAAATTATATTTCATATTTAAATGGCGAAATTAATATAATATGTTAATTGCATTAAAAAGAAACAACAACATATATAAACCTCAGTGTAAATATTTAGAAAATATTTAAGACAAAAAGAACTAACAGTGAGGGCGACCAAATTAATTGACATTGATTTAAATTATTAATGATTAATTTTCTTCATTGTAAAGTTTAAAAATAGAAACTCAATTAAATTCTTACTTATGAGTATAATTCAGTTTAATTGACTGAATGAAGTATTTTTCTTAAATAGTTTAAAACAATTTGTTGATTGAATTAAGACCATAACGAGTCATGACTTCAAAATAAAAAGGGTAAATAAGCAGCTTTGAACGTAGCGCTGCTCAGGTTCAAACAGGCCAAAGGGCATTTTGTTAGAATCGTTTTCCCGGTATAGGTATAAAATTTAATTCTCTGGGAAAATTAGTTGGTCACGTATTAGATGCGCAGCTACCGCGATTCATTCTGTTATTTTTTTTTCTTGGTGCTCCTTTCGAGGCAGCCTTCAATAAAAGAAACAAACCACGGAAACGTTACGTCAATCGATTACTTGTGTTTAGAAGAAAAAAATCTCGTGTAATTGTGTCGGTTTATTTGCTCAATTCCAACAGCGATGCGTGCTCGCTCTTGTACTGTACAAATTGTTTGCTTGCTCATTTTCCCTAAACGTAAATTTGTTGCGTTATTATTGTGTATAGTTGCACTTTGCGGTCGTGCACTGCAGTAACACACACACAATCACAAATTGCAACCGCGTGCAGCGGCAACAATCAATAAAGCGCTGAATTACGGTACAGCGTCGGGCTGCACTCTCTGTGTTTGCTGCGCTCTCAGTGCCGTAATAAATGTATAAATAAACTAACAAGTGCACGCATCCAACTGATTACAGACCCCAAGTCTTTATGGAGCATTATCATTAACACGTTATGGTTGTCATTATTATTTTCAATTAGTTTGTTGGCGTTGAAGTCTGCTGGACATAATTATATGATTTATTATCGCTAAGTATTTAATTAAAATTTTGATAAAATTAAATCTTGAATTTAATTTTTTTTCATATAACCGCTATTTTGTCTAATATTTATTGTTCTTAAGAACTTCAAACAAACGCGCTGGCTAAACCGAGTCAATATTAAAAGTTGGATTCTTGGTGAAAATCGTGAATCATGAATTTGATTTATTTTTTCATTTATCCGCTATATTTTTATCGTTCTGGCGCTTCCAAGAACTTTAATCGAACGCGCTGGCCAAGCCAAGTCAATATTGAAAGTTGGATTCTTGGTGAAAATCATTAATTTTTTCTTTCATATTTTTAACATTATAGGTATTTAAATTCAATTTATTTAAAATCATAAAGAAGTTTGACAATGACAAAACTAATGTTTACTAATTAATCAATATTAGTTTGTCAGCAAAGATAAATTTTTTTATTGCTGTCTATGGATCGAATCACCTTTGCAATGTTTTAAAAAATATTTGCCATTCAACAAGGAAGTGCGTCAACGTGGAGAAATTATCTTGTATAATATGCATTCAATAAGTAAGAGTTGCCTTTTTGCTCTTGTGAATAGAAATAACTTTTAACGCCAAGGTTAAACGCCACCTCATTTTCTTTCATTTTTGTTCCAGTTGTAATTCATGATAAATCTTGCATTGCATAAATAAATTTGGCTCGGCGAAAATCGATCAATCAATCTCGGAAACCGCATCAAGGGGCGTTTGTCTAATATTTTATTCTTCTCGCGGCGCAGCTTTGCCAAAGCACAATTTACAAAGTGCGACCTACTTTCCCTGCTGGGCACATCCACTCACACACATGCATGCATTTGAACTGCGCTCTTTTACATTGTACAATGCTCGGCATGCACCCTTTCACTTGCTGCTTGTAATGGCAAATTGCGCGCTCGCTGCCTTTGTTCGAGAGCCCGATCTTTTTATTCGCAATCTTGATCATGCATTTCATCTGCGTCGATCGATGTAACTCCGTGGGAAATTCGAAAAGTCCTTCGATCGACGATGAAACTTCGATTAATAAAAGGAACATCCAGATATTCATGAGTTCCTGCAAAATTTAATTTAAGAAAAAAAATTGGTAATAAAACCATTTTAAACTTTTTTTTATAAAGGTGAGAAATAGATGAAAAATAATTGATGTATTGAAAAAAAATTAAAGATACTGAATAAAAATATGAAAATATTGCAAACACAAAAATGAACAAACATTGAGAGAATAGAAGCAAAAATACAACAAATATGGTGAAAAGTTGGTATACCTAAAATGGAATTAATAAAATTTCTATTCTTTTCTTTTTTCCATTTTACGACAGGCCTGGTCGATAAAGCCAAATGTAAAGAAATGGATATCAAGTTGCACTTGAGAAAAACATTTAGATGCCTTTAAACTTCTTTTATGTCGTGTGATTTATGGCAAAAGCAAAGGAGCGTAAAAATAAAATAAAATTCCTGAGAGTTTTTTTGGATTAAAAATTAAACTTTATTGTGGTGTTCTCTCTGTCAAAGGATTGGAAATGAGCCACAGCTACACAAAGTACATGCAAGACAAATGACTCTTGATCACATGAGAACTTAATTCACCTCTCGTGGCGACACAACTTTTTAAACGATCACTCGAGACGAAGAACTTGACGCGTGAAAGAGGATTACGCGCTGACATTTTTACCGTAATTCTCTCCTTAAAAGTCGTAAGCAGTTTTATTTTATATATTTTAATGAATTATCTTCCGTAGCATAACAATATTGGGATGTGTGTATATTTAAACAGTATATATTTTTGTTATTTATGTACACGAGGAAGGGTCGTCTCTTATTACACGAATGGGAATAATAAAAGCTTTTTATGGCAATCCAACGACTGTACACGCTGGCGATTTGTTTAAAATTATACATCTCATTCCAATTAAGAATTTGTGCAAGTTAGGCACATGACGAGAGTTCGCTATCTTTTTTCAGGCACACGCGTACACACTTGGTTGATGATTGAAAATAAGGCAGTATATAATTTTCCAAAATTAATATTTTTAGTTTCAAAACTTTTTTCAGATTTGTATCAAAATCCGGCAAAAAAGTTTCAAAATATTTCAAAATTAGCCAAACTGACACCTAAAGTTTTCCAAAAACTTGAGGCGTAGTCTTTTTTTTTAAATTTCTACTGCTGAAAAAAATAATAAAACATCACCGCTGACAATTGTGAAATAAAAACCCAAAATCCCAGAAAATCAGTACGGATGAATTCCAGCCAGTCTGTTGGACAAGGGTGGCGCACCGTTGGGCGTGAACCTTCGGAGGCCCTGCTGCCTGCTGAAGTACTCGGGCTCGGCATAGCTGTGGCGGTAGCGCTCCTGGAAGTGGTGGTTCAGCCTGGCCGTCTGTCTGTCCAGACCTGGGAAACGCTCGTGGTCGGCCAGTTCTTGGTAGCCCTGGTGGTACGAGCGCCGCTTGTTGTTGAACTCCTCGGCCAGTTTGTGGGACGTCCGGCGCCGCTGCTCCTCAGCCTCCTTCACGGGAATCACCGGCTCGAAACCGTCATCGTCGTCGTCCTGCTCGTCGTCCGAGATGTGATGCACAGGCACCGCCCGGAATTGGCCGCGAGCCTCGGCGGCCGACGGCCGCCCCGAGGAAACGGCCGCCGCCACGTTGGCCGCCGCCGTTTCTTGGCGGCGACGCTCCAGACGCAACTGCAACTCGTCCAACTTTTCGCGCTCCATCCTGTGGAACTTGTCCTTTGCGTCCTGTGAAAAGATAATTTATGCATAGAAGAAGAAAATTTTCACTACAGTATCTAAATAATTATTATTATTTTTTATTCTCTAAAAAATACATACAAAAGTGAAAAATTTTCACTTTGAATTTAATGAAAAATTTTCATGCATATCTTATTGCTTTTTTTTGTATTTTTAATTTTAATAATGATTTAAATCAATGAATTTGATCATCAATGATTGCTGACATGTTCCTTCACCGTCGGTGCCTTGAACTGCATTCTTGACGATACAATAATCTTTAATGATTCTTTATTGTATAAAAGAAATGCAAGAGAAATTAATTATATAGGGGCAATATTTGCATTTCATTCTTGTTGAAAAACAATTATTTACTATTCATTAATCTAATTAATTAAAAATTTGATTATCAACTATATTTGTGACAATTAATTGTAAGGCTTAGCTCTCAACTTTGACCCGGAATCTTTATGTGAAGGATAAGCTTTCAAATTTATTGAAACTTGTATCACGTAAATTTTATTATTTGATTTTATTACTCATTCTCCATAATAAAATATTTTAATGCAATTAAGAATCACTACAGACAGATCATGGTAAAATATGCAGTTTTAATAAACACACAGTTAAGGGGAAATCATTGAAGAATATATTTATTTAAATTATTTTTAAAATGAAAAATATGGAAAATATAAAAAAAAAACAAGCAATAAGATTCAAATAGATATAAGAAAAGATGGCACATTTTTATTTTTTAATTTTATGTAAATATATGCAATTATATAAATGCTAAAAATTAATTTAGTTTTTAATAATAAATATTAAATTTAAAATAATGTTTTTAAGTAATTTTATACTTTATATTTGTAGCATTAAAAGTTGTTCAAACTACCTGAAATCTTTCTCTGGGCGAAAGAGGCGACGGTGACCTTTGCCTCAGCTCTGGGTCTCTGCTTCGCCTCCTGGGCGCATCCTTGTCCACAAAACTGGGCACTCGGTGCGGCTTGATGGCCGGTTCCTCCACCTGCTGTTGGTGGACTCGTCGCGGCCGCGGCAGCGACAAATCCGTGGCCGGGGTGGCCACTCTTTGCGGTGACCAGCTCGGCGGGTTGCGCGCCTCCCGCAGTGACTCTCTCCAGTCATCCTCCTCTTCTGCAACAAAAATACAAACGGAGAAATTAGTAAACAAATTTTCATTAATTTTCATGTGCAAAAATTAAAACATTCTTTTCAATGAAAAGCTTCACAACAGCCCGGGGAAAATTTAATTAAAATTGACTTGATGAAATTAGAATTAAAAAACGAACTTTGCTTTAGGATTAGAAACTGAGTGCACAGGTGCACGCCTGATTAAAGTAGCTACACTTCTTGTATATCTATTTTTTTCAGTTGTTCTAACGGTGAAAGTTGTGTTTTATAAAGGTGTTTAATTAATCAGCGGGTGTGAGCGTCGACGAAAATCGTCCGAAGCTAATTTGACAACAAACTCTTGGAATTTTTAGCTCTCCGAAAGAAAGAAAAAAATCTTTTAAAAGCAATGGTGACATGTTGTCATTAATCAGCACCAAAAAGTGGGAACACAATGGAAAGACAAAACCGACGATGAGTGAGTCAGATTGGTTATGGCGCGTTTCACGGAGTGGGTGACTATTTTTGTCGGATTTCTTTGTCCTAAGCTGCAATCCCACGGTGGTTTCGCCTGCTTTTGTTGTCCGATTAAAAATCGTGCCTAGTAGATACGTGTGGCAGAAAAAGGTGCACGAAAGGATGATTTAGTTTTTTTGGCTATATGCATTGGGCCATCGAACTCTGTGTGGCTCGTGGGCGATTTTTCCGAGAAGCTAACGAGGAATTTCCTTTTGAAAGTGGTTGTTATGGGTTAGGTGACCGCAATAATTATTGAGATTGCTAATGGGATTCGTATGCAAATTTAGAAGAGCTTGTTCATTGGTTCTGGTTCATACTTGGATTGAGCCGCATGGAGTGGGAAGAGACGCGCGGGATTCACTTAATTGGAAGATTTAAATTGTTACAGGATTTAAATTCCTGTAATTTTTATTTAAAAAAAGGCTAATTTTATTTTATATTTTCTTTCATAAATTCTTCCTAAGATTTTGCATACGCAAGAAAACCTAGATTTTATTTTCATATAACAGCCTTTTGGGGTCAGTTTTCTTTCTTTACATTCTTTACATGTATTTTCAGTGTTTTATATTTTATTTTGTATATTGACTTGATGTAATTAAGATGTTGTGTTTTTCATATTGTATCTGAATGGAGAATAAATAAATAAATAAATTTTCCTAGAGGATATTTTCATAATTTCAACAAGGTTAAGCCGGGCTTAAATTGTTATTTAAAATTAAATATTTAGTAAAAATTAGTTCAGTAGAATAAATTGTGATAACTGAAATTTTCTTTCTTTTCTTCTGATTCTCTTATTCAAAATGAAATTTTGTTCACTTTAAAATTCAGATTGATGTATCCCGGTGTATATCTTCATGGGCAGTAATTGCCTCTGTGACACATCATTTAAATATTATTTGCAACTATAAATTTAAATTGCTGTCAGACTATGATAATCAGGGTATTGAAGAGGAAAAAGGAAGGCTAATAAATCAAATATAGCAATAAAGCCCTTAAAAATTTGGAAAAAATACCTACCACAAAAAGGAATATTATGTCAAGCTAATAAAAAGTTTCTCAGGAGAAATGAAGACAAGTAAAACTAGTTAAATTTGTCATTTTTGTAGCAAAGTAGATTAAAACTTTTCCTTAACTTCTTGATTGTAATTGAATTTAATTATCTGATATAAAAAATAATTAATAATTTAATAAAAATTATTATTACGTATTCTTGAAGGATTTACTGAATCAAGTATTTTTAATCATTATAATTTATACCAACGAATTCTAATTTTATTTCAATAATTTCATCATTATTTATAAAATTTGAAGCAATAAAAATATTAATTAGTTTGTTCTCTTCACATGCTCTAACGGGTTCCAGCCCCAGATAAACCTAGACCATAAAATAAAATCTTTATCGCCGCAAATCTCCACTGCACTTATCTACCATTAACTGCGTTTTATATTTCTAGCCGCAAAAACGAATTTTTACGACCCGTGTGTGTTATTTTTAATTCATCTCATATTCTCTCATTGACCCAAAAGAGCGGCGCACAATCAAGAGCGAACACTCGCCGCGCGTTGCCCGCAGGTGCAAATTAAAAGAGTCGAAAAGCGACCGAGGCTTATATTTTTTGTCGAATTAAAAACGGCAGCGGAGCTCTTTTATGATAATATTATGGACACACGCCGTGCTACTTGCCGGTTACGAAATCGTTCGTCTGCGGCTATTATGGCGCTGCGCCGTTTGTAGGCCACGACTCAGCGACTGCTGGAAATAGACAAGTGAGATGGAAAAGGAGCGGCCGTTTGCATTTTCGGCCGGTTTTACTTTTGCAGCACGACACCGTTTTTCGCATTGTTTGCTTGGCCTGTTTTGCTTTTGTGCAAAAAAAAATAAATGTGTGGTCGTGATCCGGCTTGATCCTTGATCAGAGGAATAAAAATTCCTTTGAAAATTCCCAAACTCCAAAAATAACAAATAAAATATTTAGATCCATTATCCGGATAATATTTATATCTTCTGTAATCAATCAAAGTAGTTTCATTATCTTTTCTGATATGAAGTTTTTGCTTGATATTAATGATTAATTAAGTTATCATTTATTTTGTTAGCAAATATAAATTATTTAAGTAATTTCCACATTATTAATATCTACAATTTTTCAAAAGAATTATAATTTTCATCTAACCTTTAACAAAGTCATGCCTGTCATTGCACTGCACTACATTTTTTTAAATTTAATTTATGGATATTTTAGTTGTGAATAAATTTTTCTACGGTTTTGGATCAGAGAAAATGGTTTATTCTTTTTTAATTTTCTTTCTCCCTCTCTGTGTTTTTTCCATTGTCTACATTAAGAGTGATGATGTTCAGTGTTTGTCGTTTTTTTCTCTCTCTTGTTTGCAATCACGACGAGAGCAACGGCCCTTTTTTTTGGCAATTTATCCACCTTTTGAAAGTCATTGTGTCGATTTTCAAGACGAGAGCAGATCTCTAAAATAAATGCCAGACACCTCCACTCACTGTTTTTGTTTCCGCGAATTTCTCTTGCACTTCCACGAAGTGCGAGGCGGTCATTATTTGCTTTATTATAAGCGTGAAAACATGAAATTTTGTCTGCCTGTAATTTGTTGGCTAATGCAACTTTTGTTGTGTTTGTGGTCGGCTCGAAGGGCAAAAAGTCTCTCAATTTGTTGGAGGTGCAGACAGCTTTTGTTTTGCCCTGCAATTGGGCAATTTTACTAACAGCTTTCTCACCAACCAAGACGTGATTAGCTTTAATTGTACATTTACAAAAACAATCGATTCATTAGCACATGCGTCACTCATGTCATTTTAGTTCATTCAACTTTTAATCTACAAAAACTTGTAAGAACAGCATTAATACTAAATGTGTCATTACATGATTTAAAATTATGAACGACGAGCTAATCCGCACTAACTTTGAAAGTTTCAATTTTTTTACTTTTTATTTTAGCTCATACACGCTATCGCGAACCGCGTTGCTCCCATTTCTCAGATTATCAATTGTATATTTAAAAGGAAGTGAATTCTACAATTAAGTATATTATTCAAAAAAAAATTAATATTGTAACATAATATCAATAAAAAAATGGCATCAAAATAAAACCAGTTGTTAAAAAAAAATACTACATTAATTTTTTTTTAAACAGTTTATAATACAACTTCGAGCAACAAAGTTTATTCATTGACACGTTAAAGCCAAAATCAGGTTTATTTGCCTGTTAGCAAAATTTATGCAAGAACGGTTGTGATTCTTGGCCAATTTAATTATACAGTGCTGGCGCGCACTCGACCTTCGGAGGAAAACCCGAATATCTCTCGAGATTTGCATGCCTTGAGAAACATTAAATTTGTTGATCAGCAAAAGGTGTTCGCATGCATTTACAAAAACACGTCATAAATCTAAAGCTCACATCTCTCTCTAACTCGTGCCAACCTGAGTTTAATATTGTTACACAATCAAGATTGTAGTGATTGGCAATCATGTTTGAAAAATATCCCTATAATCACTCACTTGCTTGTATTTTTTTTTTTTTTTTTTTTTTTTTTTTAATTTTACAAAGTATAATCTACGTTTATTAGGAGTGTATATTTTATTATCTCACTTATATACATTTGAAGATTGTATAATTTACATTGCTTAAATATTAAATTTTCTATGAAGTACTCTGAATCAATAAATAAATATTCCTTATCAAGCATTCTTCTAATTAATTAGTATTATCAGTGGACTATGTAAAAAAACTTAATTCAAATGATTTGGGTATGAAAATAAACAAAATTTCATATTTTTCAGTTTACTAATATATATCGCAATTTAATATTTGCCTCGTGTGGAAAAAAGCAAAATGGGATTAAAAATTTGGTTTTCAAGGCGTTAATTCAGCTACGAGTAAAGAATTTTGTTTTTCTGTCTTATCTTTTGATAAATAAATACTGCATTACACAATAATAAACTGAAGATGCAGGTTGATAAAAGACTATGAGTATCCGTTCTATTAAGGTTTGATCTCGCCCCAGCATGCATGTGTGCACGAAAATAAAAGTCGTGGCGGATGGATGAGCTCGGCGAGATGCAAATTAGGTCCCGCCACGACCCAGTGACCGCGTGCCGAGCAGGCTGAAATTTATTTTGTAGCTAAAACAAGCAGTCAGCTATGCAATGCACTGTGGTCGGGCAGCCAACGGAATAGCGGTTTGCACCTGTAAGGAACGAACACACAACACACGCCGCTCATCTCTTGCACGCCGCCTCGAAACAATATCAAACGATCCGCCCTGGGGCACTGGGTCAGCTATGCGGAATACGTAATATTTCGTCTGCAGCCCAAAGAAGAGAAGAAGAATTATCGCTTCGGTCTCTTTTTCATCCACCAACCGGTTTTTTCGTTATTATTTCCACATTCGGCTATTCTTGGGTAGATATTTATCCAAAATCTACTTTGCGTGACGCTATTTTAAGATTTGGCTGCCGGGAATGTCCTCTAACTTGTTT